CGAATTCGCGCAATCAATGGATGCCTGGTGTAGAACGGCGCTGAAAGACATGAGTATCATGGGCAAAGACATGATGATCGACACAGAACATTTCCGCGATAAGCTCACGCAGAAATGACCTCATGTCGTTAGTGCAAGAAAGGGAGCTGAAGGAAAAGGCAACTTACGGGGAGAAAATCGAGGGGTCATTTTAAATCTTCCTTCAAAGAAATCCTCAGCATACCTTCGACCTTCATCTAGTGATTCTCAAGAAAATGAAGGATGACATCCTGGAGCGGGTACGTTTGTTTACCTAGAGTCCCCGTTCAGATATGAACTTCGGAATCGGGATAACGTCCGTTGTGCATGTGCATGGCTTTCAAGGCTCTAGAAGTGGAAGAATCCACTTCGGTTTCTTCGGCTCATGGAACAATGGGTCTTGTCCATAAATAATATTCGTTCATAATTTGGATCAGATTCAGAGAAATACTGGTTGAATCCATCAACGGAGACACCCTTCAGAGTCCTAGACTTACCGCACTTGAAATTTTCTCTGAGTACAAATGGGCTAACATTCAATTGCCTCCCTAAAATGAAAGCAGCATAGAAAAGGAGATCAGGCTGGAAGGTAGGGATGAGACAGCTACTTCAATATGTTAGAAGGCAGTCAGAATTTGACAATTCCATGGACATATATTCATGGTAGGACAATTAAGTCTTTTTTTTTAAGGAATTATATTTTCTCCATCGCTAATGAAGTATGATAGGTGTAACACGGAAATTTTTTCTACTTCAGAATGAAATATTTGTCAAAAAGTACTTTAGTGCTAAATGTCGTAGAATACCACAGTTTACACAGTGTACCATTGGTCCACTCAAATATGCAAATACCTTGAGGAAAATCTTATTTGATGGAATTGGCAATAGTAGATCCCATCAGTATAATGGGTGGAATGAGACGCTCAATAAGACAATTTCTGGTGAAGATATTGTAAATTAGGTATAGGGCGTACCTATTTTTTATGTATCCCAAAAAAGGAATTTCACAGTTATATTACGTTGAAAATAGCAGTTTTTGAATGCGATAGAATATAAAGCTGATCTTGACTGCACAATACGCCTCGACCTTGAGAAATGCATGGAAAATAAGAAAAGCCAAATTGTTTCTAATATAAATACGTTTTGCGAAAGTGCAAATATCCTGATAAGTACGATGATTGTGATGTAATTTATTTGTTATAGCAAAGTAACTTCTCTCGGAGCCTGGTAATGGGAGTTCAGAGAATTCAGTAGGAATCTCCAAGGAATTCTATGGTATCCTCTATAGGATTCTATTCAATGCTCTATTGAATTCTACAGAATCCCTCCACATAAGGAGAACTTCATGTACTTCTGTAAGAGACCGTGTAAGTTTCTACTGGTTTTTAATGAAAATTGTCACCAGGGTGCAGCTGCGATATAATACATGACATAACTGACTGCGATATAATACGGAAAATCACTGGGATATGGGTCATTCCATTCCAACTGTCCAGATGGGTGGCGCTCAACCATCGCAGAAGAAATTTTTATACAGGGTGGCCCAAAAAAACGCACCAATTTTGATCGGCAATAACTATTGAACAAATGAACCTTTTTTCGTGTTCGAAAAGGGAATTGAAAGGTCTATTAATCCTCTTTCCATCGCCATATCAGTTATCAAATTTTAATCAACGGAACCGGAGCCATTGCAATTTTAAGTACAAGCACCCAAAAAAGTGGATGAACAAGGCTGGCTTCTTGCTCTCTGCATGCAGCATCCTTGGGCATCCAACGGCGATTTTCCGTTGCGTGCTTGCAACTGCCGTGTCTTTCAAATTTCATCCTATGAGAGTGCAATTGTAACTGGCCGACACCCTTCCAGTCCTATCACGGTGTGACGGACCGCCGCCCTTCCAGTCATGTCGTCCAGGGGAAAGGAAAGGAGGCATGCTGATTGAGGAGACGGACGGAAGTCATTGGGATAAGCCGAGGAGACAAGGGGAAAACGTATGAGGGGACATTATCTCAGGGATGCCGGATCTAGATCGCCATCCCCGCTCTTCCAGAGGTGACCTCCAGTCAGGATCCGGATGACAATATCTTCGGACATCCCTGTCTAGGAAGCCCATGGCGCAACCAAGGGTTTATGAGACAACCTCATTTCCAAAACCATTGGTTGGACAGGTACATGTTCGGAGATACGGATCCAGAAATTAATGAAGATGATTTTGTCCTCGAGTGCCTTTCCCAATAAGAACTGTTCCTGGGAATTGGACAACCAATGGGCGCGAGCTACCACCCAAGAACCCCTCCTCTGGACCCTGAAGAAAAAGGAAGAAACTCCGTCTGAAAAGCCAGTCCCGAGAGAAGCGAGGGGACTCGGCCCTGGCCCTAGCCGACGGGTGTGGAGAAAATAGATATATGTTGGATCCCCCTCAGAAAGTCCACGTTTCCTTGAGCTTCGTGCTAAGACGAGTGCTTGTGCATAAACTGTATTTCTAAGTGTACGTAGGGCTGCGAACGTCATTGAAGTGTTTTCGTTTCACATCTGTTGACGTGGTTCTGGTGCTGGGATGTCAAATTTGATATTAATAATCAAGGAAGCTATGAATAAGGGTGGCCCATCACTGAATCGACATGCGCAAACTTACCCAGTGATGGACCACCTGGGCCATAACCGGTGCCGTGAATCGATTCGTGTTGTCTTAATGATGGGCCAATTTATATTTTCGGAGGGATATTATGCCTCCATAACTGGTTATTTTCGTTACAAAATGCCCTAACACTCCAAAGGTTCCCTATGATGAGGAGGCTATGGAAGATGCTATCCTTCAAGAAGGAATGATTCCATAAATCAACAATTTGTATTTCATCCCCCTGACGACCATATATCTCTAGTATTGCCAAACCCCGCATCAACATATGCATAATTCTTGCTCCAGTTCGCCTGAACTCACTCCTCAGAACTTCCAATCTTCCTTGCTATCCATGTCTCGTTGATAATCAGTGTCGAGCAACCACTGAGAAAAACGAATTTCATTTGCAGCCGCACGCATATTTTCTGTCAAACGAATCGTTTTGAACGATGGCCACAGCGGGCTCATTTTGATGGAAGCCATGACGACTTGACCATGAGATACTTCGCGGACGACTGGCAACACTTGGCGCAGTGGCCAGTCGGTTTGCGCTGTTGTGCTGCCAGATAAATTCGCAAAAATTGCATGCTTGTGCATATTTCCCCGTCAACAGTGTTTTCAACGCTAGTGGGTACTATATTGGGTTCGGATGGAGCACATTGCCATTAAGACAGTTGTGACGAAAGTCGCCTTTTCCCGCTTTGAAATGAACAGTCGGCAGTGCTCAATAGAGCCTTCGCATCATTAGGGCTGAGATTGTGCGGAACAGCAGGAATTTCGTTGAACGTCCCGGACACCGCAGCTCGAGTATGGGTTGGTGCGTCGACGCGTACACGCGGTGCTCCCCACGAACCGTTAGCATTCAGTGCCCGAGTCTGGGCAGTAGGCTGACTTTATCTGTATGGGGTGTTGAAAAACTTTTTGCTATTTGATATATTTTTTCAAGTGTATTTCAAACAAACATTTTGTATTTTTTATATGAAATATTATTGGGCTGCATTTACAAAACCTTTTCCAGGGACATTTCATTTTGTATTAAAATACACAATCACTTTTATTTTGCCTAGCTCTGATGATTGCTACAGAGTGCCATGTTTTTATGTAGTACATTCCAGCATTAACCTTTTTGATAATATTTTCTGTTTCATTTCTCCCGGTTTACACTTGGGACAGGATGGTAAATGAAAAAAAGAGTATTCTTGCTGTACTGAAATATGACACCCATACATTAGGCCACGATGCATGCAACTGGCATTTTTGAGGACCTTAAGGGGAATATGCAAGAATCTCAAGTGTGCGATTCCCGTACTCTGCTAAATTCACACTGGTGGAATTTCCACACCCAAGCAAATCCACACGTGCGGAATGGATGAGGTTTACTTTTACAAGGGTATAATGGTATGCTTCTAACTCGCTGCTGCGGTTGGGACGTAAGATGAAGGAAGGGAGGCTGCAAGACGACACCATTCTTCACCGCGGTCCTACAATGCTCTGATCCTGGGACTGCAGGCGAGACAGCATTCCCGAGTTATTTTGAACATTTCACATTCTGCCTAACTACTGTATGCATAGCCAGCATGTGCGAGGTGGTTGCTTCCTACGGATCTGATTCTTACCGCTAACCATATCCATCGCAATCCGTATAGAATTATATCCATGTGGGGTGTGACATGCCTGGAATTTTATCATTTAGAACATTAGGAAACATTGAAAACTCGTTTGAAATCCATGTTTCTCGCCAACGTTTTTGCCTGGATACGTCGAATTCAAGTGACCCCTGTTATATTGACATTTCATTGAAATATCTTTTAAATACCTTTTACACGAAGATTGTGCTTTTCCAAGCAAGTTCGGAATACTGTTTTACTTCCCCCTGGAGAAACATTAAATGGCTTTGTGTAACCCCGATGCTTTTTTTGCCCCATCTTCGAACGAATTCTCGGATCACGTAGATAATCCCAAGTGTCGCAGAGAGTAGTATTGTCTAAATACAAGCATATTTTCCTCCTGCATTTGCTGATCTCTGAACTAGAATCTATGGCCGCTCCGAGTGCCCATTTTATATCAAGTGACTCGGGGTGTCCTAATAGTTTTTCTTTGCCTTGATTTTGAGGTTCCAGGTCATTTCTTCGACTGGAGGTTTCGACGAAAGCCTTTCTAAGAAGTGTCCATTCGAAGAAATGATCTGGAACCGATTTGAAGCATTCACCTCCGTACCAAGTTTCTCTTGCTCATGAAGTCGCTACCATGAATTGTTTAGACACTTGATGTTCTCATTCAAAGGAAGAAAATGGCAAGCGCACTGGGATTTAATTACAGCTGTATGGTTCAATAGGAAATGCAAATCCATGTTAAAGGAATACAGCCGTTTTATTTCATGATGGTATCTATGGTTAGTTGGATGGTTCAGCGGAAGTAATTGATGGCAACCGAGATGGCGAAGAGTACCACGAGGACCGCTATGACCCCATTCTTTCCGCTGAAAAGTAAATGTTAAATTTCAAATTTCAATGCTGCGAATACTGAACATACATTTTAAATAACATGCCAACTATAAATTGAAATGAGAATAAACTTGGTAGAGGGAATGGAAAAAGTAGCACAAAAAGGAAATAAGAAGAGAGTGTTACATATTGATGGAATTAAAATATAAAATCGTAAAAAAAATTAATTACAGTAAGACTTAGAAGAAAAATGAAATGCAAAAGGAACCACTCGTTTCACATCATAGGTTCCAGCAGAAAAGCAAGGACAAGCTTGCAACAACTCAGCTGGCAACAGTATTAAAGCTAATGTGTCCAGAGATCAGATGACGTCACGATTTAATCCCATAGGAACCGATGGAAACTGTAAGAACACTCTGGAACTGTCGAAAACGCTCCTCAAACGAGATTTTAATTAAGTATCGAGTAAGAGGAAGGTATCACCTTAATATCTTGTAAACTTGTTGCATCATATAGCTTGTGTCATCTGCTTTCTTCTCGATTCTGTCCGCTTTCTCCTGTAGCACAGCCGTCTCACCCAATTGTATCTTGAGCTTCTCCTCGGTCTTTTCATGTTCAGAGCTGCGAAATGCCCTCCGCTGCATTTTCAACTAAAAATTTGCGTAATGGATTGGATCTCGGTTTCAACTTTACTCTGCTTGTAAATTGAGGTAATTGCATTTAAATGGACGAATTCGTCTAGTGAACACGAAAGGATAGGATAATAGTGCGCAGCTGAACATCAACAAAAGCAAGTCCTTATTTGCAACATCTCTCTTCACATAGGACTAAATGTCCACCGCTGGGCAAGCTCTTCATACCTGCCGTTGTCGATCGCTGCCGTTCCGCTTCTGCAAGGAGCGGGAATCTTCATCTTCCTCTGCAACATAATCAAACATCATCAGTTCTCCAAATCAGTTAAACGAAATACAAAGAGCAATCCGAAAGTTTCTGCCCTGAAGTACCCGGTCAGCAATTTATCTCCGCGCCAAGTGTGGCTTATCTCCGAGGTTCGCGTGTTACAAGCTTGGGCCAAGAACATCAGCCCACACATGGATTCATGAGCTATAGGTGGCATGTGCATTTGCCGTAGCGGAAATGACCGCGTTATCTGTGGAACCCCCATCGGTGGGCCAAGTTTGGCTTATGCGTGGGGCACCTTACTGAAAAAAAGTAACCTGACTGGTCTGTCTGCACGTGGAAGCATGGCACCAACGTGGCGTATATGTGAGCCACTCCATAAATGTCCGCTTCTTCTGCGGGAACCTGCTAAAATGATGGAGACATTTCTATCTACAGGACTAGTACTGCTGGTACTGGCATAACCCCCTTCCCAAAGCATGAGTCTGAACTATGGATAAGCAGGAGGCATATGGTAAAACAGGAATTGATATACCCAAGAAACGTATTGATTATAGTACGCTTCAGGGGAAGGTCCATTTCCTATTGGTTTAAATTGGGAGAGTAAATTTTGGCTGCTACTGGTTCGTAACGCGAATTCTCGTTCCTTGATGATTCATATCCCCATCCTTTGCCAACCCGGATTCATTAATTATTAGGGGTCAAGATGAGCTTCGGTCAAACGCGTATGATTAAGCCTCTCAAAACCGTATCTCTATTAGCAAAGGCGAGTTTTTGGTTCATGGATGGAGACTGAGGGTTATCTTGAAAGATCGAGTTGAGGCTTTCATGCATATGGAGGGCAAGTAGGATGGATTCTCCCGGGAAGCCATGCAAAGCAACACCACCAGAGTGCTGAAGGACATTGAAGAATGACACGAAACTCTTTAAGTGCCTCTTTTCATCTTACCCAGCTTGCGTTAAAACTGTGTTCACCCTAGCTGCCTCATTGACAAATTCAAGATTCAAGATAGTGATATCAAGAGGCGATTTCGCCCATTTCGATATCACGTAACAAGTTTACAAGATATTAAGGTGATACCTTCCTCTTACTCGATACTTAATTAAAATCTCGTTTGAGGAGCGTTTTCGACAGTTCCAGAGTGTTCTTACAGTTTCCATCGGTTCCTATGGGCTTAAAGCCATATTTTTTTAATTTTTTTTTTGTTATGTGACTATCCTAGTTGCTTACTGTTTAGTACCTAACCTAAGTTATTAGATGTGCATGTTTAGATTCCAAAATGAATGGTCTTTCTCATGATCTCTTTCTTTCTTTCTTTCTCTCTTTCTATGATTTTTTTTCTAGCTCTAGCAGTTTAGGCTGTGGAAGGGGGGCTGTCCATGTGCAAAACCCGGTACTACCGTGGACATGGAGTCCAATGCGAAGGGACTAAATCTCACTAAGTAAAATTGCCATACCATCACCCATAAAATACTACTCTTGGTTCAAAATCCAGGAAACCTTCCTACAATCTGTTCCTCTGCTAAATTCCTTGGCATCTAAATTGACTCTCAACTCACATCCAAAGATCATGCTGCTCATGTTTGTGAACGAATGAAAGTATGCACTTACGTCCTTAGGAAACTTCCAGCATATACGCTATATTACCAAAAGTATTGGGACTAGCGTCCCTAGGTCGATAACAATTGTCCCAGAGGTCATGTGCTTCAACGCTGCCTAGAGGTACAGGATAATTATATTGTCTTACAATCACTGACGGGAGATAGCACGGACTATGAGGAATATAGGAGGATCACGCGGACGTTGAAGAGGGAAATTAGATCTGAGAAATGGGAGGTCGAGGAACGGCTGGCTAGCGATACTAAGAAGAACCCTAATGCTTTTTATCGGTATGCTAGTGGTAGGTGTCAACAGTCGATCGGGCCGCTAATGAACGATAAGGGAGTCGATTGCAAGGGATAAGGATATGGCCAGTATACTTAACGAGTACTTCGCTTCCGTTTTCACTGTGGAATCCGACTCGGCACCGATTTTGAAGGAGGTGACCTCGGCGTGCATCGAGGATATTTCCATCACAGAGGAGACGATCGTGAATACGATAGGGAAGTTAAAAGTGGGCGCAGCGACCGGCCCCGATGGGATTCACAAGAGAGTCATTAAGGAAACCGCCAGAGAAATATCGGTTCCACTAAGAATTATATTCGATAGCAGCTTTTCGCGCGGGGAAGTACCTGAGGACTGGAGACGAGTAAACGTCGTACCGAAGGGCGAAAAGAGTAATCCAGGAAATTACAGGCCGGTAAGTCTCACGAGTATCCCAGGGAAGATCATGGAGAGCATACTAAGGGACCATCTCTTGGATTTCCTCGAAGGAAAAGCGCTCATTCGGGACTCTCAACACGGCTTTAGGAGGCGTCGAAATTGTCTCACCAATTTGCTCGAACGGAAGAGAGGGATGAAGGGAATCCTGTGGACATCGTCTATTTAGATTTCGCGAAAGCTTTCGATACCGTTCCTCACAAGAGGTTGCGGGTTAAACTGGAGGCGCACGGGATCCAGGGTAGGACGAGCGAGTGGATCGGTAGCTGGTTGGCAGGACGAGAGCAACGTGTGATGATAAATGGGGAAGCGTCGAAGGAGATCGGAGTCGCAAGCGGTGTCCCTCAAGGCGAGGTCCTCCAACCGCTCCTGTTTTTGGTCTACATAAACGATTTAGACCTCGGCGTAGAAGGTAAGATGAGTAAATTTGCCGACGACAACAAGATAGGTTTTACCATAAGGGGGGAGGCGGATAGGGCTCGAGCCGAGCGAGATTTAAGTCTTTTGCACGAGTGGAGCAAGAAATGGCTCATGACGTCTAATAAAAGTAAGTGTCACGTTCTCCACGTCGTTCGAAACAACGGAAGGCCTCTCGACACGTTCGGCGACGTTAAATTGGATGAGGCAAACGGAGAGAGAGATTTAGGTGTTTCTATCAATGAGGACCTCAAGTTTTCCTCGCACGCGCAAGCGACGGTGGCCAAATGCAACAGGATTCCAGGTTACATTCGTCGGTCGGTTGCAAGTAGGACATCTGGCGTTATTCTTCCATTGTATGCGGCGCTGATAAGACCCCAGCTGTAATATTGCATCCAGTTTTGGAGGCCTACAAATTTGTTTGCGCTCGAGAGAGTACAGAGGATGGCCACAAGAATGATGAAGGAGGTCAGGGGACTATCATACGAGAAGCGTTTAGAAGTGTTGGGACTGTACTCGCTCGAACGAAGGTTAAGGAGGGGCGATCTCATCCAGGCTTTCAAGATAAAGGAATAGATCATGTCGAGNATGTGGAACCAAAATGATATTCCTCCTCTCTACATCCCCTTAGCTCTAATCCTTCTCTAATCTCCCTCTCTGGCGACTCGACGATCGTGATATCGAAATGGGCGAAATCGCCTCTTGATATCATAAACTCTCTTGACTCTTGACTTTTGACACTTCTAGGAAGAATAACTCCCTAAAAAATTAGCCAAAGTTACTTACATTCAAAGGTTATACATGTGAAGTCATGGGGATGGTGAATAGAATAGCAAAATCGAGTTGTGCTACATTAAGCTACAACTGTTCCATAAGCTGTTCTGATCAAGAATGGAATTGAGACGCGTTATCACACTGGAAACTGCCGGCGTTATCATGCCCTTGGGAATGGCATCTTAGAGCATTTGCAATGATTTCATATGGCCGTGACAGTTCCATAGTTAGGTCATCTTTTAAAGTTTCAGAAATACATGGGACACCCCCTATTACTCTTCTCCGCATGAGGGCTGGGAAATCTCAACAGCTGTTGGATTACATTGTCACCAAGCTCTATAATATGCTAATAATTCACCATTTCCTTTTAAACTAAAAAGAAATTAACTCAATTCTCCTCTCAAGCCAAATATGTAATACTAGCGAGTTTGTTTGGTCTCGCTATGGTCGCGCCTTCATCAAAGACAGAAAATACATTAATGAATTAGTCACTGAGTGGCAAAAACTTGTTCAAATTACGTCCCTATCGAGATATGTGCCATAAGGAAACGTAATAGAGATTTTTTACAATCGAAATTATCACTACAATGACTTATTGTGAACCTAACTTCCATAATTTGCCTTGAGGATACTTTTGAAAAGTACTATTTTTTCTGCACTCAGCAATCGAACATGTACTTCTGAGCCATGTTTCAACTTTCTACTGCTCTCTGCTTTCTTGGATTGAAAAAGATCCTGGAAAATGCGTTTCCCAAAAAAATGCGCCCTGAGGGGTTTTACTTAGAAAATAATATTTTTTACGTAAATCGAAACTCAGAGAACTCCGGGCCCACCAAGTTTCAGTCTCATACCTTTGCCCTATTTGCTGGTGCAAAAATATATTTGGAAAGACGACCCATCCAATAACTGTGTCCTGAGATGCCCCACGAAAGTTGACATTTTCCTGAACTCTACACCATGTCAGTTATGTTTGTGTAGAGTTTCCCCTTTCCATTTCTGCCCGATTCGCTAGCGTCGAAAAAATTCCTTAAAAACATCACCCCAAAAAAATATGCCCCCAGGGGATGTATTAGAAACGTGACATTTTTTCTCTTTTTGCCTGTCCATGAAAGCATCTAGTTTCTTCTTAAAGATAGTCACAGCGCGGTGCAGCC